AAAATAAAGATAGAACTCTAATTCAACTGTGAACCTAAAAATTTACAGCCATTTTTGAAAGAGATGTATCCTTGCTCTGGAATATGTTACTGAAGATGTTAAAGCTGTAATGAAATGCTTTTTCTAACCATGTGGTTATTAAATTAAAAAAAAAAAAACAAAACACTTTCCCTTTCAATTTGAAAATCCAAAGAGATCAAGAAATAAACGGCATTGGGTGAGGGGGAGGCTTCCTGAGTGGGGAGGTAGAATGCAATGATATAATGGGGGAAAGCAGAGAAGTTTCCTTATGCAGTAGATGGTGATTAATACAGAGAGCCACAACTGACCAATGTGAAGACAGTTAGAGGCTACAGACTGCTTATCCCTGAATAGGACACCTATATCAAACTTCTGCCTCCCAGGGCTCAGGGATCATTGCAAAAGTGGTAACAAAAAGACTGTGAAAGTTAGAGGTGGAGGATGACCACATGGAAACAGTTTTCCAGAGAGCTGGTCTTTTACGCATACGAACTCACAGCCATGGTGATAGCATGACAAGTCCCATATAAGCTCAAGTCACACAAAATCCCAGCATAGATGTGGGGAAGTGGTTAAGAAACCTCAACCTGGGCTGGAGAGATGACTCAGCAGTTAGGTGCACTGACTGCTCTTGCAGAGGATCCAGGTTTGATTCCCAGCACCCTTATGGCAGCTAACAACCATCTGTAACTTCAGTTCTAGGAGATCTGAGGACCTCTTCTGGCCTCTGTGGGTATTGCACGACATGGGTGCACTTACACACATTCAGCAACACATTCAAATACATAAAATAAAATAAATTTTAAAAAAGGAAAAAAGGAAGAAACCTCAACCCTACCTAAGAAACTATTGGCAACTGATGACTGCTGGGAAGGGGAGAGTCAGTCAAATTAAGGATAAAACTCTCAGTAGGTTAACCAGGCTCCAGAGGATGAACCCACACTGAAAGACACAAACCTGACTCTACACACACACACACACACACACACACACACACACACACACACTAGAGTAAAGAATATATATAACACATATTAGTTATATTAAAGTACAGAAATTTGAAGGAGTGTTAGAAACGGGGATTTAGAGTATATTTAATAATTAAAATATATTGTATGAAATTCACAAAAATTCAATGAAAAAATAATTTTTAAAAAAGAAACATTTTAAATTTATATCAGAAAAAAACATTTTCTCAAGTTTCATGCTTAAATATCTAGCTTTTTCTGTGACTCTTAGAATTTTTAAAAATTTTAAAGAATGAGTTAAGAATCAGGCTACAAAGCAGGATACAGGATACAGGATACAGGATACAAAGCAGAAAGGAAATAAAGGAGGGAACAGAGAAACTCATTAATGTATACCTAAAGATGTTCTCGGAAACAGGCACCTTTTCTGAGTTATCTCTTTCTTGTTCCCCCTATGAGTATGAGGTACCTGTATACAATCAAAGGATTTACATGAAACTTTTAATAATGCTTAATAATTACTATTAAAGATATCAGTTGGTTCTCAAAAGCAAGTATCTTCTTAAAAGTAAATTCCATGTTTAGAAAGATGTAAGTACAGGCAGCTGACAGCAGTTTTATACAGGCACACACACACACACACACACACACATTTAGAAACATGTACTTTAGTAGGAAAAAATAGGACATAAAGCCAGGTGTGCTGGCACACACCTTTAATCCTAGCACTCAGAAGGCAGAAGGAAGTGGATCTCTAGGAGATCAAGCCAGCCAGGTCTATATAGCAGGTCAGCTGCAGCTACAGCAAGATCCTGTCTCAAACAAACAAACAAACAAATAGGACATGAAGTTGGAAACGTGTTAGCGGGTAGGAAACAAGAGGAATTAGAAAGGGAAGTGAGAGGTGGAATTGATCAAAATAAAATATACTCTTGCATGAAGCAAAAGAATAATTTTTTTAAGATGGTAAGTAATTACAACTGCTTCTTACAACAATTTAGTCCATCAAAACTGTATGTTAAGAATCATAATGAAGGAATCTCGTATCACAGTAATAACCCTCAGTGCCCCACTTCACATCACAGTCATTACTCTGGCTACTTTCAAACACAGTGTACATAAAAACCAGTAAAAAAGATTGTAGCTAACAATCCTGTAAAAGTTTTGAGGTTATGAAGAATATAAGAATTCTTTGGCACTTATTCTATGTTCAAATATGGAAAGATACAGAAGAGTACACAGCAAAGGAAGTCATTCGAAGCTTCTCTTGGTTCTTACTTTTCAGGGTTTCTCCAAAAGCAACAATTTAGCACAAAGTAAAAAGCTGCAAAAGAAGACTCTCCATTGGGAGTAAACTTACCTGTAATGCTTGATTCTCTTTAAGATCCAACCCAAACACATTACGCCTCTTCACTGTAAGGAAATCAGTATCAGGTCCATCCTCCTCATCATCATCTCGGTCTAAGAACTGCACAGGAACCTCCTTTACTTTCTGTGTCTCCTCAGTGTTTGAAACAGATTTAGTATGAGGCCCTCCTGCTTTTCTCAGTTTCTCCTCCATTTCTTCTTTATCTTCCTCCTCTTCTTCCTGTTCTTCCTCACCATCACCACTGGTTAGTCTGTATTCTGTCCCTTCCAGTCTTTTCCCATTTTTCTGAAGGATGGACATTTTCTCACTGAAATAGGCTCTAAATTCTTCTACTTCATCATTGGTGAGGGAGGGAGCCCTGGGCTCAATTACTTCGGTGACTTGGCTCCTAAGCAAATCTTTGGTGGACTGTTTTTCTATTTTCTGAAGAAATCTTACCCGTGGTGCCACAGCAAGACCAAGAGACCTTCAAAAATGGAAAGAATAATTATCTCAATATACTGATGGTATGTTTATGATACTATGGAACAGTTTCTCCATATAGAGCTCTATTTCTAAGGTTTTTTCTTTTTTGAAGGTAACATTCCTCTGAGATACATCAATTCTAACAGATTAAATAACCCGAAAGGCAAACCAAAATGCATTGAGTACTCATCCAAACATATTTTAGGCACCCAGCTTTTCTTCAAGGGACTTAATATGATATAAAATAAAGATCACTGAAATAGAAACAAGGTGACCACCATTCAAGTAATGGACCCTCTTTCTAATTCAACTCTCAGCTTCCTCATAAACACATATTAAAAACAACTGCCAGGTCTATGCCTCACAGTTGTTTTAAGGTTCTAATTAACTATATGAAAGTACTTTGTAAAACATAAGCTACTACATAAACTAGAAAAGACATAGCTGTGGAATGACAAAAACCAGTCCTCTTCAACAAATGAACTAGAATACATGTATCATTATCTCTTCCCCAAACACTGCTTCTGAAAAAGAATATGGCATAATCACTGCTATAAAAATGAATTTCTATTTTTAAAAAGGCTAAAAAAAGGAAAAACCTCTTTTTTCTCCAACTAAGATCAAGATCCTATTTAAAATCAGCTGTTTCTAGGATCAAAGCTAATAGCTTTCATCAAATTCCCATTGGTAGACTGGAAATCTTAAGGACAGTTTTAGTAAACATCTAATGTCATAACATGAACACACTGCTCTTTTCCTCTTCAATGTAGAAAAACGCAAACTCAGAAATGAACTGCGAAGGTTCAGAAAGTGCAGTTCTGTCATATACTAGTTGTATAAACTCAAGAATGTTAATCTCTCTAGATCTAAGTTTTCTCTTTTTTTTTAACTTTTACAAAAACTGAGAATTTCATACATGTACATAAGGTGTTTTGATCAAATCCATGCCCACTCTCTCCCCTCCAACATTCCCCCCTCTGAAGAGGTAACCCTAAAATCTTTTAAGGATTAGATAAAAGCTCCCAGATACTTTTGGCATTTTTGGCCTTTGGAACAGAGTATGTTACTAACAGGCCCAAGGACATTTTGACTTTTAGCCAAGAAACTGGCTACATTTCTTTGGGGTCTTTTACCCTAACTGCCTAGCCAATTCCTACCTCCTATTCTTATCGCGCCATTCTCTGAAGGGGTTACCCAAATTGCCAATAGGGAATAGGGACACAGACTGCTCTGGCTTCTTCCATGCTGAACAGGGGTGCAGGGTGAGGCAATCAGAGTACCCCTTCAGTGGGTCTATCTAAGACTCCCAAATTGCATAACTCTGTGTCTAAGGGGAAAAGAAAGTCCTTGAATCATGAATAGGAGCTGTATCTACAAAATGGAATGATTATGAGTACCTAACTCATGAACCTAACTCATAGAGTTGTAAAAAATTAATTGGCAGAATGCAGTTAAAGTGACAAATAGGCAACTATGGCAACACTTCCTGTCATTAGTATAATAATAAGAGGAGTTAAGGTAGTGAGCTTGTGTCCACCAGATGATTTCTCTTAATACAATAGTGATATTTATGTTTCCTCAGCAACTAAAACTTTTGAGTTCCTTGAAGATAGGAGTATATATCCATATATAATTTTATCATTGAGCACAATGACCTATAAATACTGGGCAATCAAAGTGTTTCTCTAATTTTTTTAAACCTTCTATCTCATATACACAGTAACTATTTTAAGTTTTTAAAAGATTATAAAGGAAATTCTGCACCACAAGAAAATTATATATCTAAATAGTCACAAACACTAAAAACACAAAGTTAAACTATACTGATAATTTAAGCTCAAGTTAATTTTCTGCCTTCTCTAAGCATCACCAAAAATTACAAATATGATGTGGAGAGCGGGCCCATGCGGGAGTGCCCAAGATGGCGCCCGGGCACCCTGCCAAGCCCCATGATGAGTTAATGGCGCATGCACAGCAGTGAAGGAAAGCGTGGCTGCTGGCACAAGGGCTCGGGGACAGAGTGTCCCGACCAATCCTGTCTAGCGATCTGGCTCGTGTATCCTACGGAATGTGGTGTGATTGGAGGGAGAAGGAGATAAAAGGGGATGGAACCAGGCAATAAAAAAGAAAAGAGAAGAAGTTTGAACCGGCCGTTGATGGTGGTCGTTTTTACTGGGCTCTGCTGGACAGAGGCCGGGGAAGCGGCAATACGGCATTTAGTTGCATTAGTCTTAGGCAACAAAACAGCTTCAAATATGGCCTTGAACTGTTAAAAACATGGTCCCAGCTAAGGCAATCAGAAAAACCACAACTGAACTTCACACAAAACACAAAAAAACTGTAGCTAAAAGTTATTTTCAGGGCTGGATAGATGACTTAGCAAGGACCAGGGTTCAGTTCTCAAAACCTACATGGTGGGTACTGTCCTTAACTCCAGTTCCAGAAGACTCTTCTGGCCTCAGCAAATATTGCACATATGTAGGCAAGACACTCATACACATGAAAAAAATAAAATTAAGGGGCTGGAGAGACGGCTTAGAGCACCATCTGCTCTTCAGAAGACCCGGGTTTGAATCTGAGCACCCACATATCAGCTAACAACTATCCGTATCTCCAGTTGCACGTGATCCAACGACGTCTTCTGTCCTCCATGGGCACTACATGATACAGGTGTACTTAGACACATGCTATCATAACACTCACACAAATAAAAATAAATCAAAAAATGTTAATAAAAAATAAAAATGCCCTGCAGCCCACAGAGTGGCAGAGAAAACGAACTCCTGAAAATGGTCTTCTGACCTCCAAACATGCTATAAGGCTCATGCACATTTACCACACACACACACACACACACACACAATAAATAAATAAATAAATTTTAAAAGCTACTTTAGATAAATCATATTCAAAATTGGTAAAATTAGGAACTGCTAAACATAAGGAAACAAAAACATATTATCCATAGCACATAGCACATCTGTAACTAAAATGGAAAGTGGCCTTACACTGCTAATAGAATTTATCTTTATGTTAACTTTATATTCTAACATAAAATAGAAAACAGCAACAGATCAAAAATTTTTGTTAGACTCTATTTAAAAGTTAAGGCACTGAAATTCCTGGAGAACAAGTCAAACATTCAGACCTTGCCTAGAAACACATTTGATCTAGGAAGTATCTTGCTAATATTCAACATATGATGAACCTTAGCTTATTTCTAAAGAGTTTTGTCAACGTACTTCCCATATATAGAACTGCACTGAAAAAAGAGGATCTCACTTTTATAGGTAAAAGGGTTATTTTTGTTACTGTAATCTCAATACTACTCAAAACCTGTCATTCTATTCCATACAAAGGTAACCTGAGTCACTAATTAGGGATATCTTACAAGTATCTACAAGAAATACCAAGACTAGGAGGAGCTGGAGAGCTGGCTCAAAGGTTAAAGGCACGGCTGCTCTTGCAGAAGACCTAGATTCAGTCTGAGCACTCATATGGCAGCTAACAATCGTCCATAACTCCAGTTCGAGGGGATCTGACGCCCTCTTCTGACCTTCATGGGCACTGCACAACACTAGTGCACTTACATACATCCAGGCAATACACTCATACACGTAAAATAAAAATATTAAAATATTTTTTAAAAAAGAAATACCAAGACTAAAAACAATATGCAGAACTTACAAATACAAACTTTCCAGTTGGGCATGGTGATGCACACCTTTAATCCCAGTACACAGGAGGCAGAGGTTGGTGGGATCTCTGTGAGTTCAAGGTCAGCCCGGTCTACATACCAAATGGCAGGTCAACTGGGGCTACAGGGAGACCTTGTCTCAAAAAGACCAAAAAAAAAAAAAAACTCAAATATGAACCTTCCTGGCAAGCAAAACTAAAAAGTCAGGCTAATTTTCTATAGTTAATGTAATCTATTTCTCTGTAGAGTTTCAACACATTGTTTTAAGATAAAGCAGGAGTGGTTTAAACTAGGACTCTCAGAAGATAGCATAATTACAGCTATGTTATCAATACTTACAGTGCATATTCAGTAAGAGGTAACTTGCTCACATCAAATACTTCTTTATCCTTCATAAGATATACTGAACGTATGTAGGAGACAAAACACTGTAAAATAAAAGATTAAAAGTACATTGTAAAAGAAGTTGAAAATTAAACCAAAAGAGAAAATTAAATGGAGGGATAAATGGAGGGATAAATCCAATTTTGTGTAGTTAAAAAATAAATAAATAACCGACAAAATATATCAGCACAGCTCCAGTCTACAAGCACAGGAAAAAAAAAGTCACAACTGTAATATTAGAAAAGATTTTACAGTTTGTTTCATCAAGGCAACTCAACACAAAATATAATAGCTGATAATGGTGCCACATGCCTGCAACTCCAACACTTGGGAGGTGGAGGCAAAAGGTCAAGAGTTCAATGCCAGATGCAGTAACCTCAATGAGCTCTTGTCCCAAAAAAATACATATATAAAACTTCACTTTCCCACAAAGCTACTCTATTAGTTATTATTCAGTGATAATGTACACCAGGAAGAACACAAGCAATAGGATAACATAGGGCACTATCTGTACTAAGCTACATACACTATTAGTTGAGCAAATTTCTTATTTTTCTAAATGGCAATTTTCTAATCTACCAAAAGACACTATACATTTTCTTGGTGTCATGATCATGAGTAATTTCATATAGAATACCCAGAATATCTTCTGAAATGTAATAGATACAAAATAAGTATTTTTTGTTGTTGATAGTGTTACTTTAATAAGCAAAAGGTCATTTTTTTCAGCAAAACAGAATTTTACTGTGATAAGTGAGCCAAATTTTTATAGAAAGAATACACTGTTCTTTTTTTTTTACTAATTTCAAATAAGTTCCCATTATTCTGGAAAATTTTTCTTCCACTTTTTTCTTAAAAACAAAATAAAACCACAGTCGTAACAGAGCAATACCATCCTAATACTTTGTCAGTTTGCAAAATAAACAGAATAAAATAATTTTTGTTTTAAGAATTTTGTGGGGCTAGGGAGATGGCTCAGTCAGTAAACTGCTTGCTGAACAAGGACTTGAGTTTGAAGTCCCAGCATCCACATAAAGAAGCTGGGCATGCTAAGTGCACCTGTAATCCCAGCAATGGAGAACCATCCCCCGGAACATGTTGGCCAGCTAGTCTAGCCAAATGAATAAGCTTCATGTTCAGTGAGAAAGCCTGTTTCAAAAAATAAGGTGGATGGGGCTGGAGAAATGGCTCAGCAGTTGAGAGCATTGACTGCTCTTGCAGAGGGCCCAGGTTTGATTCCCAGCATCCACGTGGCGGCAAATGGCCCATAATTCCGGTTCCAGGGGATCTGATATCCTCTTCTGATCTCTACAGGCACTGCATAACATGGGTGTACTTACATACATGCAGGTAATACACTCATACATATAAAATAAAGATAATATAAAATATATTTTTTAAATAAGGTGGAGTCAGCACTTGGGAGGCACAGGCAGGTGAATCTCTGTGAGTTTGAGGCCAACCTGGTCTATATACCAGTTCCAGGCCAGCTAGGGCTACAGGGAGGCTCTCTCAAAAGGATCCAAAAAAAAGGTGGAAAATGACTGAGGAAGTTACCCACCATTCTCCTCCAGCATCCACAAAGATGTACATACATATGTATGTGTACTATATATACATATACACACATCTGAATATATATAGCACAATAATTTTTATACAGTGTATTTAATCCTTCTGTCCATATTTCTTAAACTTTACACTTTCTTCTAACTTTACACTAATCTTTTCTCTTCAACTAATCTCCCAACAAACCACTTTCTGATTCCAATGGACTAAAAAATGAATGGTGCTGGTCCAAAGATATGTTTCCCCTACAATCATCCATAAGAAATCACACCAATTGCCTATTGTTCTTGCTCTATCTAGATTATAATCAAAATGAGAAAATCACTTCTCTGAAACTAGATAGCATGCTGGTACTGGCAACACAGCCATTCTGCTAAACCATGTGTGACACCGATAAATCACAGCATTTATTTCAATGTGCTAATCTATAAACTTTGTTCTGGAAGGCTCATTTATTGCCTTCCAGTGAAACATCCTCCCAACATTTTTTACATCCTAATAACTGAATGACCTGCTAATAATGAAATATCCGAATGATGTGCTAATAATGTAATGTATCACAACCTTAACAGCAGCTTTAGCACTCATGCATTTTCTAATTTCTAGAATTCTTCCCCACAAATTTGACTTGACCATTCCAGAAGGTACACATATTTCAAAATGTCATGATATATATCATGAACAAAATCTGTAAGTATGGCCAGTCTCCTTTCAAGAATTGAGTCTGGAAAAGCAATTTAAGAACACTGTCATATTTACAGTTCAAAATTTCATTCCTGAAGACAATTTTTCAGGAATGTTATGCTATCACTAATTCAGACTAATATAAGATGATATTAATCTCTCCATCAGAAAACACAATCAGAACTTATAATTCTATTGAAGAAATTAAAAAGCTATGTTTATCAAGTATACTAGGCAACAGGCTACTACATGTCTAAAAAATCATCTTGGAATTTTCACTATGACTCTGACAAGATTATATAAAAGTTAATGTAAAAAACATTCTTGAAATTTTAAGAATTAACCTAGACTTATTTATGTAAAAGTTATATTGCTTGAACATTTGAGGTATGGCTATACAACACAGAAGTAGCAGAAACTGATGAAATTTAACTTTGGTATGTATTCCATTCCAAAAACAAACACCCAGTTCAAACATAACTTACTCTTTGAGCTCTCTCTTTTAAATCTTGATCTTGGGCTAAAAATGATTCCAATTTTTTCTGGACATCTATAAGTTTTTCTGGGTTGATTCTTTTTAATAATAAAAAAAAGAATGGTTAAACTAAAGGGAAAAAAATCTCAATTTTATAAACAATTAACAGTATGCAGCATTTTTCAATTTACCCTCAATTTGACTTTTAAATGTTTAACATTATTAACATTATTAATTTATGGGCCAAATTTAACCAAAATTACAGTAGACCTGAATGTTATGCTCAGCTATGTGAAGAATAAAAGAGGAGGAAAGAAATGATAGAGAAGCACATTTCTCATAATGAGTAGAAGGATACCAAAATAACATCATTATTGGTACTGGCCACTTTTTTAATGATTTTCATTTTACCCATATGAATGCTGTCTGTGTATTACATACATTCACTCATGTCATTCAGTGCTCACAGATGCCACAAGAGGGCACTGGATCCCCTGAAACTGGAGTTACAGATGGTTGTTTACCACCATGGGCGTGCTGGGAACTGAACCCAGGATCTCTACAAGAACAGGAAGTACTCTTAACTGCTGAGTCATATTTCTCCAGCCTCAACTTCTTTTTTTTTTTTTTTTTTGGTCTTTTTCAGACTGAGTCTCCCTGTAGCTACGGTGGGCTTGGAACTTGTTATATAGAAAGGCTGGACTCACAGAGATCCACCTGCTCTCTGCCTCTGCCTCCCAAGTGCTGTGATTAAAGGCATGTGCCCAGTGCTCAATTTCTTTTTTGAAATATTTTATTTATTATTTTTATTTTATGTGTAGGCATGTATTGCCTGCATGTAGTAAGTGCACCCATGCCATGCAATGCCCGCAGAAGACAGAAGAGGCTGTTGGATCCCCTGGAACTGGAGTTATGGACAGTTGTTAGCTACCATGTGGTTGCTGGGATTCGAATCTGGGTCTTCAGCAAGAACAGTGTTCTTAACCACTGAGCCATCACTCCAGCCCTGGTGCTCAATTTCTTAATTCTGTAAGGCTTTCAAGTAGACTCCCAGGGGACATAAATTAATGAAACAAAACTGATAAAATTTAATGTCATTTTTGTAAATGCTTCTGTTTTCAATCAAATACAACAGAATCAACTTCAAGTAATAAGTAGCTAAGACATAAATACTGACTTATCTATTTAGAAATTAGACATAAACTAGGCATGGTGGCATATGCCTTTAATCCCAGCACTTGGAAGTCAGAGGCAGGCAGATCACAGATCAAGGCCAGCCTGCTCTGCATATTGAGTTCCAGGCCAGCTAGTGCTACAGGGAGACCCTGTCTGAAAAAGATTAAAAAAAAAAATTCAGAAGGGAGG